GGGGCAGAAAGCCCAAGATTTGGGGGCGGTTTTGGGGCGGTTTTTGGGGCGGTTTGGAGGCGGTTTGGGGGTGGTTTGGGGGCGGTTTGGGGGTTTTTGTGGTAATTCAGGTGAATCCAACCAAACCCATTTTTGACCGAAATCTTGGAGAAGTGGCAGCAAAAATTCTCAAATTGAAAGCCAAGTTGGGAATTTGGGGTGGGAAGGTTAAAAAAATTCCAGTTCTACGCGCAAAAATTTCAGGTTTGAACTGAAAAATTCCGGTTCTGAAAAAGTCTGGATCCGAAATAAAGGCACAGAGCCAAAGCTGACCACTGGAGTGACCACTGGGATGGCCAAACATGGACACCCCTGTCCAGGCTGGACCAGAGTGACCACTCCATCCTTCATCGTCCTCCTCAGGAAGTTCCTCCCGGAATACTCAACTGACCAAGATTTTGGCCCAACACTGACCACTGGAGTGACCACTGGGATGGTCAAACATGGACAACCCTGTCCAGGCTGGACCAGAGTGACCACTCCATCCTTCATCCCACCTTCATCGTCCTCCTCAAGATGTTCCTCCTCCCAGAATACTCAATTGACCACGACCAAGCCCAGCACTGACCACCAGACTGACCACTGAGATCATCATTCCCACCCCTGTCCAGGCTTGACCACCACCCCAGAGTGACCACTCCATCCTTCATCGTCCTCCTCAGGATGTTCCTCCCAGGATCCTCCACTGACCAAGATTTCAGTCCAACACTGACCACTGGAGTGACCACTGGGATCGTCATTCCCGCCCCTCCCTGACCTTGACCACCACCCCAGAGTGACCACTCCAACCTTCATCATCCTCCTCAGGATGTTCCTCCCAGGATCTTCCACTGACCAAGATTTTGGTCCACCACTGACCACTGGGATGGTCAAACATGGACAACCCTGTCCAGGCTTGACCACCACCCCAGAGTGACCAATCCATCCTTCATCGTTCTCCTCAGGATGTTCCTCCTGGGATCCTCCACTGACCAGGACTCAGCCCAACACTGACCACTGGGATGATCATTCCCACCTCACCCTGGCCTTGATGACCACCCCAAAGTGACCCCTCCATCCTTCATCCCACCTTCATCGTCCTCCTCAGGATGTTCCTCCTGGGATCCTCCACTGACCAGGACTCAGCCCAACACTGACCACTGGGATGGTCCAGCACTGCCACCCCTCCATGGCCTTGACCACCACCCCAGAGTGACCCCTCCATCCCCCACCTTGGTGGTCCTCCTGAGGCTCCTGAGGATATTCCCCCTGGGATCCTCCACTGACCAAGATTTTGGCCCAACACTGACCACTGGGATGGTCCAGCACTGCCACCCCTATCCAGGCTTGACCATCACCCCAGAGTGACCCCTCCATCCTTCATCCCACCTTCATCGTCCTCCTCAGGATGTTCCTCCTGGGATCCTCCACTGACCAAGATTTTGGCCCAGCACTGACCACTGGGATGATCATTCCCACCCCACCCTGGCCCCAGAGTGACCCCTCCATCCCCCACCTTGGTGGTCCCTCCTGAGGCTCCTGAGGATGTTCTTCCTCCTGGGATCCTCCACTGACCAAGATCTTGACCTGACACTGACCAC